AATCGGCCTTTCAACGATCCTCGACAGCTTGCTCTCTAGAGACATGCAAAGACATCGGGAGGTGTTTTCAGCATTAAACCTCCAACGATCAAGTCAGTAAAGATACTAAAAAGTTATGTAGAATTGTATGAAGTGTTTAGAGTATAGAGTGTGATTAACCTTACCTTCTTCCCCTCTTTACCTATTTATATGTAATAATTAGCTTCCTCAATATGCTTTGTTCTTCCTCCGTCATATCATTTATTCCTTTTTTATCCTGACCTTACACGTGTCCCTCATGGACCACCTCTCATAACCATCCCCACAGGTCGGCTCTTAGCGTTCTGTACTGAGCTTAGAACTACCAGAGCTCTTGTCCACCGTACTTGATCGAGCAACTCCTCTCCCGAGCTATCGTCAATACTATGCTCGTAAAGACCGAGCAACCCCTCTCCCGAGCTATCGTCAACACTATGCTCGTAAAGACCGAGCAACTCCTGTACTGAGCTATCGTCAACACTATGCTCGTAAAGGCCGAGCAACTCCTCTCCTGAGATATCGTCAATACTGTATTCCTGAAAGCCAAGCAACTCCTATACCGAGCTATTGGCGCTATCATATTCCTGCCAGCCGAGCAACTCCTCTTCCGAGCTAAAAGTTACAACGGTTTGGTTCTAAGCTTAACACTTCATCTATACTAGGCTTGGTTACCGAATTACCCTTGACCGGTTCACCGAACTATTCTTATGTGTTATATCATATATTCAAATGTATATTTGATATTGTGGTCACATGTTCGTTAGTCGAGTTGATATTATAAAAGAAAATAAATATTTTTTTATAGATGGTTGATCAGGTTCTTAAAATCCACATACACAAAATCGAAACTTAGTAATAGACTTTAATATTGTTGAAATTTACACGAGCTATTCTAAATTACTAAATTTATTCATAAAATTGTGAATCATCATAAATTAAAACTAAAAATTACAAAATACCAAATATTAATACAAAAACTCCACCAAAAAAAAAAATTAAAAAAAAAAATAGCGAAATCTCAATTTTAATTTGAAGTAGTCTAGAAAAGTTGGTGTAGGTAATTAAGCTAAAAGAGGTGGGACCGAGGAAGAGGGGATGGGATGTGAGGGGGTGCTGCAAATTTAGGTTTTACACAAAACCGGTAAATTGTGGGAACAAGCGTGGGAATTGGGTTGTTATGCCATGTTTGGCAATTGAAAAGAAAAGTCCCATCAACTAAATGACAAACAACCCCTCTTTACTTTTCCATGACTATGACAACTGATTTTGGCACCTGTCAATTCCACCTTCTTCTTTTATTTCTTTTTTTTTTTTTCTCATTTTCTTTTGTTTTTTTATGAAATCAATTTCTGTTCTGATATTTTTGGACTTGATTTTTGTTGAGAATAGCAAAAGCGGCCTTGGTGCGGTGTAATACTGTTGTTGGTTTGGATTTAATAAGGAAATATTAGGTAGAGTTTATGCCAGGCTTTTAGGCCGGATAAATAATAATAATAATAATAATAATAATAATAATAAAACAGATCTTTATAGTTAGCCTGGGTTTGGGAGAAACTTGTTCAAGGTGCATTTTCTTTAATTCATTTTAAAACTCATTTTAAAGCTATAAATATTAATCTTCTACCATATTAATTGATTAACATATTAACTCATGTCCACCTGTTCATAGGAGAATCGGTTTGCTATAAGTTGTACTTCTTATAAATAGTTAACTTCTCATATTACTTTTGTTGGGTTATTTTGGGGCTGGCTTAAACACAAATTATTTCATTGCTTAATTCATATATCTTGAACTCCATTAGTTGAAAGTATAGGCAATCATTAATTCTTTGATAATATTGTACAAGTAAAACAAAATTAATACTAAGTTTAAATTGTTAGGAGTTGGTGAAGTCTCGAATTGCAATAAATTGTGAGAAGTTGACTTTGATGAGATTGGAAATGCCGTACAACAATGAGCAAACTGGTGTTGTTTGTACCAAGCAAATAGGGCTTAACTTATGTAAACTGAAAGGAGAAGCTAATAATTGATTACAAAAGAATCATTTTCATAGGACTTTGTTTGGCAGTCATATCGTATCTTCTTGGTTGTCTTCTTGTATGTATGTACCTCTTAATTGTCTTTTTTCTTTTGTAATCTCAATTGTCTTTAGTGAAAAAACTATAATGTGTATAGCTTCTTCTAACCACATTAAGTTTTAAAAACTGTGTGTGTGCATATATACATATATATATAAATAATATTGCATTTTTAAACTGAAGTGACTTGTGATTGACACATTTTATTATTTTTTTCAAAATTTCTTTTCACTGTACGAACAAGAAAAAATTAAAAAGAAAAACAATGTGAGTGTGGCGATTAATATGTATTATTTAATTTATTCAATCAATATTTATAGAATTAATTTAAAAAATGAAACAAAAAATTTTCGGAAAAATTTTTACTTTATTTTCTCAATTTTATTTTCAATCCACTAATATAATTAAAAAAATTAAAAATTAATCGTCATTGTATATTTTTCAACAAAATATTACTCACACACTTACATATTAGTAAATATTGATCACTAAAAATTAGTATTTGTTAAATTTATTTTTATAATATATAAACTTTAATTATTATGTTTTATACCAGGCCATCTCCACATATTCGGACTATTTTTGGTGTAGAAAAGTTGCACTACACTATATAAAGCCACCTCTAACAATCTTCAGTTCAAAAAGCTTTCACATAAGAAATAGTTTTTTTGTTATTTATTTTACACAATTAACAAAATAAATGTTAACTTAACTAAAATTCATTTTATTATATTTACTACATGTCAGATAAAATTATAAAAAATATATTAATAAATTTTAAATTTTAGTAATTAAAATTGTTGCCATACTAATACATATAAATGCAAATTAATATATTAAATTGAAAGAAAACAAGGAAATAAAAATAAAAGAGAAAGATAATTCTCTCATGCTAAAGGAAATTTTGAAAAAAATGATAAACACCGAATAGACAAATGCAAAAAACGAGAAAAAAAAAGTAAGAAATAATAAAAAGTAAATAGAGTATAGCACAAAGATGAACCCGCGTAATATGTTGGTAAACTGTAATAATATTCAAATTACCGCTTAAGATAACTCTTTTGTTTAGGCAGAGTTATATCAACACCAACAGGCATAGCGCGGGAGTTGCTGTTATAACATTCACAATGTTATTAAATTTATTTTGTTATATATATATAGGAGTTGGTTCAAATAAAAACTAGTTTTAATGTGACAACCGTGAGAACTATATTTGATGCTCTTTTTAATTGTACATGATGCTATTCTTAATATTAGATGATGGTATCATTTTTATAAATGCTAATATAAATTGTGTTGCTATTTTGAATAAAATACATCCTCGTTAAAAATAGCACCAAACACAATCAATCATACCACTACGCACAATTAAAAATAGCGGTTCTCTTGATTCTCACAATAAGACTTAGTTCTCATTTGAACTATATCCAATAGTAACCAAGACATGTCAGTTCTATTTTATAACATTGATGAATGCCATGTTTATAAAATAATGTTGGTATAATTGTACATGTTACATGTTGGTATATCAAACCAGAAGGAAATTAATACAATTCCAAAAATTTTTATGTCAAATAATTAAGAAATAAAACAAATATAGCGAAAGCGTACTTGAGTTAAATGTTTGAGAATTCATGTGTTCTTCAGTTTGCTAGACTGGTGTGTTATTCTCAACGATCTTGATGGACTGGTATGATGATCTTCCAAATTATCGAAGCCTCATAGCAGATTTTGATCTGTATAGTATTTGTATTGTGTATGTATCTTATTTATTGAACTGAAGTTGATGATGCGTTTAACGAGAGAAAACACCTATTCAGAAATATGCTCGTATCTTTTCGTCGTTTTGGACTATAACCAAATAAATAAGAATTATTGATTTACAATTCAGCCTCTCAACAAACAGAAAATTCCATAACGATATCGACACTTTTAAATCCACAAAAAATTGATACTCTGCTTATTCAAAATTATAAATTTAGTAGATCACTTTAATTGGATTATATTATGAAAAATTTACACATTTAATTTACATCCAAATTAAATATTTCTAACATTACATTCATACACTGTTATGTTATAATATGCGTTTAAAGTAATAACATCATTTCATATATTTTTCTTTACAATACAATCAGTATTTTNTAGTTACAATGAAATGGCAGGTAGGTATCCACAATTACCAAATGAATTGAAAGGTTTGAAATTGAAGTATATACTAGAATGAGCTCTACCATTTGAATTACATTACATATGCCCGATGCGCATGTATATATACACGTGTACACATCATATGCCATTCATTTGAAAATTGGATAATATATGCTGTGTTTCTTTAATAATTAAAGAGACTCGCAGACAGAATAGTCGAAATACCTAATATATATAACTGAGTGTTACACCTTTTATTAAGGATAATTAAGACCACATGAGCTACATGATTTACACTAAATACTACGTCAGTCATTGTCATATTGAAATTTGAAGATAGCGTTTCCACAAAATAATAATATAATAATACAAAAAAAGATGAATAACTAATAAGTATAAGTCTACATATATAGTCATATAACCAACATACACAATATATGCACAATATATATTGGAGTGAGTCTGGGTAGATGAAAGATATATAGTCCAAAATGGACACATTTGAAATGATGGATATGCAAACACCTATTTGTCTGCTAGTCAGAAAATGTTTGTACGGTATGACCAACTTAGTAACCCTAGATTTCCTTTTTACATGCTACAATTCACTATCTCCCCCAATTACTGTTTCCACCCTGTNGTTCTCGCGGTATATATATATATATATATACACATATATTTTTAATTATAAATTAAAATAAAATAAAATTAAGTATGTTTGTATATTAATTTGGGAAAAAATATATGGATAGGTTGGGATCCCATGCAAGAGGCTGTTGGAGACTGTGACGGTGAAATGTGGTCATTGTAGCAATCTCTCATTCCTAAGCACAAAGCCTCCAGTTCAAGGTCAAATTTGCTATGAGCATCAGAAAACCCTGCATCAGGTAATTTTTTTCATTACTCAATTTGTTCCATTTTTTTTTTTTTTTTTATCATAGNTTTTTTTTTATCATAAAGAAAAATATTTAAAACGAAGAATAATGTTATTGGGTGTACAGAGTTTGTGCCAAGAATTCAAGAAAAGCATTGCTCCTTCTTCGTCTTCGTCTACAACCAGCGAGCCCTTGTCCCCAAAAGCTCCATTTGTGGTGAAACGTATGATATTTTTAAATATTTTTATTATTTTGCTTTTACCCCATTTTCTTTTTTAAAAAATTTGGTTAATGTGGTTGTAATAATTATTAACATGCTTTTGCAGCTCCTGAAAAGAAGCACAGGCTTCCATCTGCCTACAATCGGTTCATGAAGTAGGAAATAAATTTATATACTATATTCTCTTTTATTATGTGTATATATCGCTTATTAAAATAACAAATGAAATGAAAATATTACAACAATTATTATTATCCTCTTCAGGGAGGAGATACAGCGCATCAAAACAGCGAATCCAGAGATACCACATCGAGAGGCTTTCAGTACAGCTGCTAAAAATGTGAATCTTTCACTTTAATATGCTCATTATTCATGAGAAAAACCCATGTTATTTATTTATTTTTGGAGAATATACTAATTCCAAACTGGTTTATAAGTAGTCTTTTTTTATTAATTTAAATTATTTTATGTGTGTGTGGGGCAGTGGGCCAGGTACGTTCCAAGCTCCTCAGGAGGGTCAGCTGTTCCCAATATCGGTAACAATGTGAGATTTAAAATGATTAATAATAGTCTTTTAATTATCACGATTTAAGCCATTTAACTGTTACAATATTTATTTTATTTGCCGAGATAATATTTCTAATGCGTTTTCACTTCTCTATTTTGGTTAGGTTTAACTTTATGAAAGCTGGTATTTAGCAAGGAACATTAATTGCTGGTTGGACGGCGAGTAGGGCAGGACAAGTTAATTAGCTATTCAGCTTTAATTAAGTTTTCAAGCATTAGTTGTTTTCTGTGTTTTATGAATGTATTATTAATCAATGAAGTGGGACTTTCGCTTCCTTTTGAACCACGGGATATGATGAAATTTTATTATCTATTACTGTTACCTCTATGTTGGGATTATTGTTTTATTCTTTCTTAGATTTAAGTAGCCATACTATGTGCACAGGTTAACTTCAAAATTATATCCATATGTATGAAGTGGAAATTAAAACATATTATATGTGTATATGTAGCTTATTATCTGAAGAAGATGGAGATTAAAGAAAAAATTACACCATTAGTCTACTAACTAATCTATTCAAACAGAATATGCAAAAAAAGGTTGTTCATCTGAACAACATAAAATCCTGGACAATAAAAAAAATCAGAAATCAATTCATAATAAGCATACCTAAACAGTTATAAAAAGAAAACAGAATAAATAGTTCATGACATCACAAAACATAGCAAATTGTTTTTGAGTTTAGCAAAACGTAGCATAGATCAAATGAACATCCACGAGTCTAAGTGGATGCCTCTTCATCCTCAGTCTCCTCATCATCAGAACCACCTTCTTCTGATCCAGCTTCAGTGTCTTCCTCATCCTCAGCATTTGAGTCCACATCATCGTCTTCAGCAGTATCTGAACCTTCTTCGAACTCCAGCACCTTCTCATTTTCCTTAGCAGCACCGACCTTTTCTTTTTCCTTAGCCGTGGCAGCAATCTTGGACTTCTACGCGTCCTTTGACTTCTCCCCCTTACTACCAGCAGGCATCTTCTTGATCTCCCCCTTTTCAGCAGCCACCTTCTTGATCTCCCCCTTTTTCGATTTAGACGCCAAGGGGACACAACCAGCCAAGGCCCCTAAGACCTCTTTGTAGTAGCGGCGCTAATCCGCAATCTTCTTCTCCAAACCAGTGAGAACAACCACTTGCTGGTTAAGGAACCCTCGGAGCTATGAAGGTACATCAGAGGCTTTGACAACAGAGGGAATACGGGGAACGGTCTTGACCCCAGCCAGTGCAAGAGGTTTCAGGGATGGAGAAAGTTCATCACCGACACGTGAATCCATCTTGATCCCTGCTTTTATGAGAACCGCATAGATAGTGGAGGGAAAGGGCAGCAATTTTTGTGGTTTCGATACATCAGCAAAAGAGACTACATAGTCAAAAATGACAGACCCCAAGTCAAACTGATTCCTACATAGAACTCGATAGATAACCCTTGCTAGAATAGACGTCACAAATTGTTTGTGAGATGTAGAAGTCCAGTTTAAGGACCCAATCTTCTTAAGGGCATTGGCTTGAGGAGTCAAGCTTTTCACAAACAGACCAGGGTTCAACCATTTGCTCAATTTGCCCCCGGTCAATGTAGCCGCAACTACATCTAGGTCATTATTCAGAGGTGTCAGGAACAGAGATGAATTTTCCGGCAAACCCAGGACTGAATTTATCACAGACGTAGAGAAAACAACAATGCTATTTCTGACGAACACCTTATGAAACTTCAAGGACTTTGGATCAGACATAGAGGTAGACAGATTATAGTAAAACTCAGCAATTAATTTGGGATAATATTTTCCCACATTCAACACAGAAGCTTCAAGGCCTGCTTTCTTCAGCAATTCAATCAACCCAAGTTTCTCAAAATGATCAGCAACAATGGTTCGTTCTGGACGGAACTTCATTTGAGAGAACACATTCGAATAACGAGATTCGAACATAGGAGAGTAAAATTGACAGGAAAAAGCATTACCAATAGCAAGAGGACTATCCGGCCCATCATCTTCGGTTTCTTCCACAGCTTTGTCATCCACCAGAGGAGAAGGTTCCTTGTCAGGAGCAGGGGGGTTAACGGATTTTTCTGGTTCAGCGGTGAACTTGTCAATTTCCTTGTCCGTAGAGTTGCCATCATCAACATTATCAGGTGATGATTCTCCACCAGACTTGGAAGGAGAATCCACAGCAGCAACAGCTTCAGGCAGGACGATGGTCTTTTTTACCTTTCTCGGTTTTCGACAGTGATGGCGGCAATCTTCTTTCGCTTTTTAAGGGATTTAGCGACAAAGGGTGACCCTTTGCCACCTTTCTCACCACTAACCGCAACGTTGGGAGTTGCGACCTTAGTTGTGGAGGACTTTTTGGGACTTGGGGAAACCCTAGTTTCGTTGGGTTGAGAGGGTTGAGCTTTTTCGGTAGCCATGTCAGAGGGAGTTGAGTTTGGTGGAGTTTCAGTGCTCTGGCTTTGACGAGTTGAACGCTGAGACGGTTGAAGAGCATTCTTCTTCAGCTTCACATTTCCTTGTTTGGATTTCAGCATGGTTTCAAATATAAGGGCTTCACACAGGTAAGGAATGTTAGAAAATTTCGGAGAGATGAGAAAAATCAGAGATAGATATGTTGGGATCTGTGAGGATCTCGTTATGTACAAGTCACGAATTCAATAGCAAACGTAAACCTATGCGCAGCGGATCTAAAGGTTTGACGTAGAGAACTTACGGCTTAAAATTTATGTAGATCTGGTTGACCACGAACGGTTGACCGCAATTGATTGACCGCAACACGCGTCTTGGGTTGCAGGAACAAGACCAGATCAAAATCGGATCAAACGGATGCAAACAGATCAAAACGAAACTTGCAGCCTTGGAGCTTCCGTCGGCGCGTGCGGGCGCGTCCGGCGTCGGATTCCGGCGACGTCGGCGGCGATGGAAAGCTCTCGTCGAGACGGTCGTCTGGGTATGCTGTACATCTCAATCGGACTTCCGGTTAGTTCTGTAGGTCAAAATATTTTTCGTCTCGGTTTACCTACAGATCTTCTACTGTATTACTCAATACACCCTTCTTCAACTTGTACCAGTGGAGCAACAAGAAGAAGATAAAACTCGAATGTGATCTAGAGAGAGAGAGGCGTGTGAGGCGTGTATCTCGTGTGAATGAGACTTCTATTCTCTTCTCATGAGCTTAATGATGTATATATAGAGCTACAGTAGGAATCCTAAGGAGATTAGGAAAAGGACTCCTTAATTAATTAGACTAACTGTGGGCCAAACCCACTCCTCTAATTAATTAAATAATATTAATGGGCCACCAACATTATATTATTGCACTCCCTTTCCCTAGCCCAAATTACATTTGAGACTCCAATAATAATTACTCGATTTACCTCCCCACGTTTAAGATATAATGTCCATTAATTAATTCGATTACTGACAATCAAGAATTAATTAATTTATTATTATTTCACCGAAGCTAGCGCTCGTTCATAACATTCTTATTATGCCGGAATTTAATCCACCTGCAGGGTTTAGCATAACAATCCTTCATGAACTCACTCCGGGGACATCATCAAACTAACGCACATGGTGACCGTAAATATCCTAACAGCACATCCTATATATAATAATATTACCCAAAACAGTAGGAATATTAATCCAGCGAACTGAACCTCATCCATGTGAATCAAAGTAATATATATTATATATATCTGCCTGTTTAATATTTTACGGGTTAAGAGAACGCAGTAATTAACCGAGGCCTAGTTCATTTACGACAATCAGTATAAAATGAACTTCTCCTCACTGGGATCCTGTTCAATACATAAATGTACTAGTGCAACTAATCAGTCAAGACAAACTGTACAGTTGACACTACAACCATTCGGATGGGGTGTTCATATCCATCTAGGTTGTGAACAACTATTCTTGTTCGCAAGTGACTGATAGAGTGATCTTCGGTTCGCCCGATGACGACCCACCCTATCTAAGTGTAGAACAACAGAACGTAGAACTTGTTTAATCTAACATGATTCTCATTCATAAGGGTAAATGTGTAATATCATGCAAAGCCAAGCTTTCAGTATATAACACTAACAAGATAGATATGAGAGAGATGGAAGACGGTGATATGATAGATATAGGAAAAAAGAATTTCGATTATCGAGGCAAGTTACAATAAGACGGTTCAGCTTGTCGGATTTGAATTTCAAAACTTGTCCAACACTTATTGCACGTAAAAAAGAAAAGACCGTTCCCTCCAAAATAGAAGATCCACTTACCAAATATTCTCGACATAACTACCATATATACGCCATGAAGTTTCTGAAGAAAATACAATCGAAATAATGTACCAAAAATAATTTACGCACTCTTTTGAAACTGAATCAATCTTAAGAAAAGCCTTGATGCACATGCCTAAATAAAATATATATCAAGCATTACCCAAGTAACTTCTAATCATGCAATATTGAGAAATCCATTAACCGATTAATCCACAAATTTTTCTAAATCAATTTGCAACGAGCTCGACACAATCAAAAGAATGGTGGGAAATCAAGATTCTTTTCAATCACAACCCAACTCTTATACCTCCAACCTTTATATAACGCGGAATTAATATAAGTTCATTCATCACTTTCTCTTAGTAAAAAACGAAATTTCCGTTTGCAATTCAGCCCCAATACTTATGATGAACTAACTTCGTTCTATGAACTTCCACACCATTTCACTTACTAACATCAACTATACGCCAATGTCAAGCCCATCACTTAAGGTGTTTATCATCCTGTTTGTAGTAATTTTGGGCATGTGGTAACCGAGCTACCCGACTCGGGTCGTTCTCAAAGGAAGGCTGTTCGGAGCTTCGTTTACTACCTAGTTGTCAAAGTCACATAACCAAAAAGAAGGTCCTAAACATTCTACTCGCTTGATTGTGGGTGATTTGCACGAAATTACACTAAAAATCTAGAGCAAATGATGAAAATGCAAGAATCGAAGGAATTGTCAAAGCATTGGTTGTACGGAATCTCCATAACTCAAGAAAATAAAAGAAAACAAGAGAAAACATGCGAGCATAGTGATCATAGGTAATCTAACACGAGCTTTCTACACAAAATCATCACGCTTTAAACAAAGTCGAGACCTTTATACTAGATAAGCACGTATGGATTCCTAACACACAAAAGCAAGCAATAAAAATAAAGAAAAACCAAGAAACGAGCATAAACACACAATTCGAAAGGCAAAGTCGAAGTAGTGGGGCCTAAGCAAGGTACCTACTCTCCCATAGCATGCTCGGACGAAAATAGTGAATAAAGCTCGAAACTTGAATGAAAATAAACTTGCAGGAATTTC